TTGACGATCACAGCAATACCATACATGTGTATGTTATTTGTTGTTTGTACCTGTAGCGCAGCCCAGAAACAATAGTGCGCATTTTGTTTTCGTCTTTTATTTTTTTTTTACCTAAAACACACTGACACTGACATTGACACTAACTGACACTGATACCAATTTTTTTTAAATCCTGACCTTTGACCCTGACCTTTTGACCTTGACCTTTGACACTGACCTTGACCCAAACAATAACCCTTGCACTGAACTAGATCAAACCTTGATCTAGGTATTTTTTCTTTATTTTTTATTTTTTTTTTAATATTTATTTATTTATCTTTTTTTTTACTTTTTTTTTTTTTAAACCAACATTTTTTTTCTCTCTATGCCAGGAGTTAGAGAGATACAATGTATCTCTCTTCTCCATTCATAGAGAGAGAAAAAAACAAGGGGGCGGGCTGCACAGTGACTGATCACTGTGATAGCCAATCAGAGGCTATCACAGCAATCATGTGACCAGGAATCGGGAGTCCCGGGTCCCGATCATAAGAACGGGACACAGGGCTCTCAGTGACACTGCGGTTTTTTGTGCTAGGAGCGAGCCGTGCGGCGCGCTCCCAGCACAAAGACAGGTACGCAAATATTTGACCCCACGGAAAAAAGCCCAGTTCCGTGAGGCCGCATATTTGTGTGAAGTCGGCATCAAGGGGTTAACATTGCAAAAAGCTTAGCTGGTGGCACAGAGTGAGTCAAATCTAGTGCATGTTTCATGAATTAGACCAAACAAAAAGTGTAGCATATCTGTAATAGAGATCTGCCCATTTTGGCCTGCATTTAGGCAATTCAGGCAGATCAGGTGGAATACCAAACAATGCATTTACATTTTACTGCTATTCAGAAACTTGAGCCTCATCTTTTTAAAACTGTAAAAAACTGTACTCTACATAACACCATGTTTATTTTTTTTATTTCCACAAACTATATTTTTCTGTGTTTTATTGTGCACCTTTGTGCATGTATAATAGCTAGCTTCTAGCTTCCTAGCCACTGCAGTACTATCCTGTAATGCCCCTTCATTACCAGTCCAATTTTTCCAGTTTTCAGTGCTGTGATAATTTGACTAACAAATGCATAGTCATACAACACTCTACACAATTAATTATATATATATATTGTTATAGATAGAGCATGCTTTTGGCAGAAATTATCAGTTATAATTTATTTATTTTTAACTATGTAAAGAGAAAAAGGCCAAGCATTAAAAAAACAACTCCCCCCCCCCCCAAAAAAAAGCAACAAAACAAAAACGTTCTTCTTACTTTCTGTTATAAAACATGTAAAAAAAAAATGCCAGGACAATGCATCCCCTCCCTTTTAAAAAAACAAAATCCTTTTTTGGTGTGTAGCCATCATATTATACCACAAGTTTTGGAAATAAAGGAACATGTTGGTATTGAGGGAGATAAACCATGGACCTTGGTAAAGGTGCACTAGATACTGTATATTAAATGAACAGGTCATACATAGGGGTGGGGGGTAGAGGTTAAGAAGTTGATGAGATGGCAGCTCTGTTCAGTGTCATTAACGGGCACACTGGCTGGATGGTTATTTTTTTCAGTGCCCTTTATCATTAATGTTTCAGAAATAAATGTCCACCACTTTGCTGTCCAAAATCATAAGGTGGGACATTTATTATGATTATAGTGGTTGTAATATACTTACTTGCTCTTTGCAATGTTATTGCACAGAGCAGCCCAGAACCTTCTCTTCTGGGGTCCCCTGCTAGCGTACATGGCTCTTCCTCTTCTCCATGTGCCTCCATAGAAAACTGCATCCTTGCACACTTGCAGGCTCGCTCTCGAGTTAGGAGGTGGTGTGCTTCCATTGAAACACACAGCTCAGATAAGCCCCACCCCCCACTTTCTGTTCACAGGATTGCTGTCTCTGAGACTGTGAGGTGAGAGAGAGAGAGATCAGCACCGCTGCAGATGGGCACATCACTGAATGGAGATAGGGTTCAATTAAATATAACGGGAGGTGAGGGAGTTATGCAACTCATGGGACTATTTTTACCTTATTGCAGGGAATGCATTATAATAAAAGATGTGTAGCCTTTAGAACAAATTTAAAGAAAACTTGGACTGAGATATATTTGGAAGCATATTTAGAAAGCTATTGCCTGACTTTCTGACTATTGCTGGTCTAATAGTTATCTTTCTATTGAACCATTGACCTGGAACATGTATGAAGAATGTGAGTTATTCATACATGTGCTTCATGGTTATTCAGGGTCATTGACTTAAAGCACTAAAGCTAAAGATGGCCAACTTAGAAGGAATTTTCAGGAGAAAGAAGTTCCCTTATTATGTGATATTGTAAACTAGGGGTGGGGCTGAGCATACTTTTAAAAAAACTAAAATTTAAACTGATTGGGTCCATTTTTCGAAATATGTCCACTTTTTCCAATTTTAACACCGTATCATACATGTGTATAAATTAGTATATTGTTCAGTCTTTGTTCTTAACCACAGCACAAATACAGAGCATACTCTTCTACTAAAACAAAGTAGATACTTTTCTGGTCTGAAAGCTGTTGCAATCAATCACTATGACGAATGGGCTCCACCCTGCAGTGACACTCAGAGATGGGTACCGCAGTAACTGCTGCATAGGGGTTTATCCATTCAAAGATATTTGTATGAGTGTTATTCCTGTTCTGTACTTTACCTATATCAGGTCTCAGTAATCTGTATACCTCCAAATACTGAAGAACTACAAGTTCTAGAAAGTCTCTCTATCTGGTGCTGGAACTCTTTGTTCCCATAATATAAAGTTCACAGGTTGCTATGCCTTTTTTTGTCATTATTACAGAATTCTGCATTATTCATTTAGAAAGCATTTTTGAACATTGCTGAAATTTTGTCTTTTTTATCTTGCTGTTAATAGAGCATCTCAGCACATAGTTACAGCGTAAACATTTTTTTTTTTTGTGGTGTAATGTGTTTTTGTATTAGGAACTGTCTAGTTTACATCATTTAGCTAATTCCCTCTGTCTGTGATGCTCAATTCAGCAAACCTCTCTCATTCTGACTGTATTTTATCCCTGTGGTGCTTATTTATAATCTGAGGTCTTTGCTCAGTGCACTTCTCTAGGTCCATTTGTGTTTTGCAGACTCCTCATCGAATGCCTTTTATAATGTGAACACTCAGCAGTTGGTCGACAAATCAAAGGCATTGTGTTCAGTATCTGAAATTTTTTAGGGCTCTGGTGTCAGCTCCAGAAATACCTCCTGATGATGGTTGTCACTGGGGGCGAATGAAGCCTTCTCATACAGAACTGTCTTCAGAAATCAGCCATATCTGATGGTTCCTTTGAATCAAAAGAGATAGTATGGCAGCATACAGCATGCCTAGTTCTTATGGTGGACTTTGTTGTTGAAAGAAGTGGAGTAAGGATAGGGACAAGAATGAGAATCCCAGTGGGGACCCCAAACTGCTTTCAGATATTATTAACCTTTTTTGTGGCTTGGCTCTTTTTTTTTTGCTGAAATCTCCTATCAAGTGTAAATGAAATGTATATCTAAAACACGAGTTGTTGCTTTATGAAGCTTCATTCTGTAGTAAGTTTAGTACCGTGACAGAGCTTAATGCATTTTGAAATTGTGTGTCCTGTTTCTCGACCCCTGGTGACCGATAAGTCTGTCTGTGTGACAGATGCAGAATATATACATGTCGAAAAAAAAGTTTGTTCAATAGTATTGTAGTATTAGAAATTTAGTGATTCTGTCACTACTTGCTTTTGTCTTAAATACCTACTTATGAATACTAATGCATCTTGCTTTTGGTTGATTTTAACTACATTAATATTCCCTCTACAGGATTTCAAGTTGAACAGGACAATCTTTTTAACCACCTGACCAGTAAAGCCCCCCCCCCCCCCACTTTTTTTTTTTCTAATATGCAGTCATATCACCTGCTTGCCTTTCACTGTAGCATGGCACCTGCCAGCTCTCCTCTCACACTGTTGATCATGATGTTGATTTTTGTCACCCAGTGCTTATGATATAAATGACAGTGACATAAATTGTCACCTTTGAAGACTGTCAAGGTCCTACCTTTTCCCTGAGGTTATGTTACTCCATGTGCTGGCGTCCATCTTGGATTCTGCTGTGCATGATGGGAATCCTTTTTATGCCTTCAGGCCTCTGAGGTCCACCCCCCAGAGGGGCGTGGCTGATGACATATAAGCCTGTGGCCCGCACATGCTCTTTGCGCTTGTGTCTTGTGTCTTTGTGTTACTATTACTCTGTTCTGACTCTTGTGACTCTCCTGGTATTCTGATTCGGCTTGTGACTTGACTATTCTTTGTATTCTCCTTTGATCTGACCCTCTGTTGCTGAACCCGGCTTGTGACCTGTGATTCTTGTCTGCTGTCCTGTACTGTTTTGTCCTGTTGTTGTTGACCCCGGCTTGTCTGACTACTCTTTTGTTTCTTCCACCAGCTACACGCCATTGGCGGCGGCCATTACCGCAGCTGAGGTGTCTCGGGGGCCGCGACCTGGTTCCTGGCTGTGTCAAGTCCATCCCCACCATCAGGGGCCCTGGTGAAGGGCAGCCTGGGACTTAGACTCCGCGCCCTGAGGGACTTTGGTCTGTGGGTGGTGGTTGTCGTCAGCCATTGTTAGGCCTGCCTGTCCGTTCCTCGGCCCCCCTGCCCTGACAAAGACCCTATGAAAGTACCGTATGGGACATGATTCTCAAGTTGTTTTATGATTTGGTTTTATGTTATACAAAAATGTCAGAAATGTTGGGACTGTGCTAACTGACAGATTGATGTGTCATCTGCATTGCTGGTAAGGCTCTGTTATTTAACACTGAAGGCCAATATCTGCTGTGGGTACAAAGAGAGAAAGAGGGAGCCCCCCTTGTTGTCCTGACACTAGCGATTGTTTTAAAAAGCCTTATTTTAATGTGCCCCGTTCATATACCATACATGTGTAGTGGTGTACAGAAAAACACAAAGATATGGTGGGAGCAGGGGCAGACTGACTATTTAGGATCTCGGGCACTGCCTGAGGGCCCGGGGTCAATAAGGGGCCCCATAAGATTCCCCTGGTACCTTTCATAGGCTTTTTTGGGTGAGGTTTGAGTGTGAGTGAGAACACAGGGGCCCCATGATTTCCTACTGCCCGGGGGCCCCATGAGTTGTCAGTCCACCCCTGGGTGGGAGCAAGCCCTTAATTATTAAAATAAAGTGCAAACAAAGCAGAAACCTATATGGACCTCAGATCTTCTCCCACACAGAAGAAAAATATATTTGAAATATATTTTTAAAATATTCTTCCCAAATACTGTATATTGCCATATATTTGAAATGCTACAATTTTGGCCATATTCAATATATTTAAAAAAAAAAAAAAAAAAATATATATATATATATATATATATTATATATATATATACATATATATATATACTGCATGTTGATATGTGATTTTATTACACAATATATGAAAAATATTTTTAGAGAAGAAGAGCTTATGATGGAAAAGATGTACAAAAGAGTAAAACAGCATCAATAGGGAAAGCTGTAAATTTTGATTAAGAAGTTTCTCTCACTCTCTGGACCACAATAAATAGCATTGATGATGGGTTATAACTCTCTGTAACAAGTCATGCCTCAAATGTTTTTTAAAATATATTCTTCAGATTTTTTTTTTAACATATAAAAAAGTAATTTTAACATATATTTTTACATATATTTGTAAATGCATTGCAAAAATGTAGATTTGTATTTTTAAAGACATACAGTATATTTGAAAAGTATTTTTTAGAAATATTTTTCATATATTTTGTAATAAAAACGCATTTCAACATGCAGTGTATATTTATTATATATATATATATATATATATATATTTTTTACATTTATTGGATATGGCCAAAATTGTAGCATTTCACATATATGGCAATATATTTGGGAAGGATATTTTTAAAGTATATTTAAAATATATTTTTCTTACATATGGGTTAACTGTGCAGTATTTTCTAAAGTAAAAAATGTTGAGGCATGCCTTGTTACAGAGAGTTATAACCCATCATCAATGCTATTTAATGTGGTCCACAGAGTGAGAGAAACTTCTTAATCAAAATATACAGCTTTGCCTATTGGTGCTGTTTTTCTCTTTTGTACATCTTTTCCATCATACGCTCTTCTTCTCTGTAATCAAAACAGCTAACTATACAGTTTCTGTACAAGCTTCAGTTAAAGAGATCGCCTCACTCTTTTCATTTAGGGTAAATTGACAGACCAGCCATCTACTCACTTAAACTGACCTCTGATGCACTCTCCTTAAGGCTAGGTTCACATTATTGTGGTTTATCAGTGGCCACATTTGCATAAGCACAGCAGCCTATTTATTTGCATGGGTTATTGAATCTATGGGAAACAAGTTAAAATGTCCTTGCACCCTTCCTGAAACTGCAGTTGCATGGAAATTACATGATGCTTTGCCTTTCTGTGCACAGGAAAATGCACCACTATTTCCAATGTATGGGGGTGTCATAAGAGTTAATGGAACCATCACCGGTCTACAAAACAGGTGTGTTTTTGCTGCAGGTGCGGGATGTGATTTACATGCAGTTCTGCACCCTAAAGGTCCATTGTTTATTTGCTTCAAAATAACTAGTGCTTCTAGATACAGAGGAGCATGTGACCTCCTCCCATGATGCAGTGCTCTGGCCTAGCTGTAAAATGCCATACTAATAAACTGCCATGTGAACAGGAGGATGATGTTATTAACCCTGTTCAAGCCCTACGACAATCTGAATTGAAGTTTACAGCCCTGTAGAAAAAAAACAGATGGTGGTTACAATTTTTTTATGTCTCTATAATATCATCGTCTTCAAGGCATTTGTTTTGGTTATGGGAAAGAGTGGTAGAGCCCAGGAATCATGGGAGTGGCACACTGTCAGCACTGTAAAAATAATCAGGCAGCTATACAGCTGCTCAGATCACTTTTACATCAAAGCCAGGAGCTGGCTTAACAAAACAGATACAAGCTCATGGCTGCTACTGCAGCCGTGCTCTTGTTTTAAATGCTTCAGATCCTGGATGTGCTACATAAGTCCAGAGAGCTGAAGTAGTTAAAGCTTCTATATAACAGTAATGCACAGGTTAAACAGATATTTCTCCCTAAAGTGGAAGTTATGCTTTAAGCCCTTCTCCCCCTCTGCTCTTCTATTTTTGGCACTTTTTTTTTTGGGGGGGGAGGGTACCTAGTTTTGACAGGTACCTGCTCCCACCTCTGGTCAGATCACGATAATTCCACTGGACATTCTTTCCCCCCTGCCTGCCCACAACCTTCTAGGACACATCATAGGTACCAGAAGGCTGCGGGACCATTCACAATGCATAGCACGGCTTGCTCATGTGCGTTGGGAAGCCAGCTATAAAGCCGCAAGGATTCATAGCTGGCTTCCTCCACAGTAAACAAGCCAGTGCCAGGAATCTAAAGACTGGTGAAGTGAGGGTGAGGACGGCGCTGAATCCCTGTAAAGGTGAGGTTCGTTTTATTAAAAGTCAACAGCTACAGTATTTGTTGCTGCTGACTTTTCATTTATTTTTTCCAAACTTCTTCATTTTCCCATGCACTGCAGTGTCTAGCTCTCAGATTCATGAAGTTTCTCTGCTCACAGGATTTAAATGACTGCGGCAGGAGCAAATGGCTCCCACTGCTGCTGGGACTCCTGTGAGAACAGGGGAGAGAAAAGCAGCACCGCTGCAGCTGAGCATAGCGCTGAATCAAGTTTGTGCTCAGGTAAGTATTTTGGGGGGGGGGGGGGGAGTTGACATTAAAAGGTTTTTTACATTAATGCAGAGAATGCATTAAGGTAAAAAAACTTTTTACCTGTATAACCACTTTAATAAAGTTTGTCCTAAAGTTTTGTGATCTAGGTCCTTTTGTTCCACTTAAAATATAATGGTATGCAATAAAAGGAAAGATGATTCTCATTCAAACTAGGGAACAAAGAAGGGCTACAGTGGGCGGCCTTAAATCTAACATTATTTAGCTTAATGGAAGTATAATAAGATCTTAAGCTTATTATTAGGTTTTGCTTAAAAACTGCCAAAATTTCTAACCTACTTCATTTTTAAATGAACAAATATATCACACAGATAATGTTGCCATTGCTAAGAGACGTTAATTGGGATGGCTGTGATGCATGCAGAAAGAGTAAGATATTATTCTGACCACAAATGAAAAATAATGAGTCTTAATCTAATACAATTCACTAGGCATATGTTCCTTTACATTATTATCAAAATTGCAGCTCTTTTGCGTTTTAAATGAATCTTTAGAATATTTCAGAACATTTTGGATTTCTGCAAAACTTTATCAGACCTGGTTTGGTGATTTGTGTTTGAAATTATTACCATTATTTCTAATAATATTATATTCCTTTGATTTATAATGTGCTAGCATGCAAAAAGTGCTGCACAATTAAAGGTAAATACAGTTGCAAGAAAAGTATGTGAACCCCTGGGGATTACGTGGAGTTTTGCATGAATTGGGCATAAAATGTGCTCTGAACGTCATCTAAGTCACAACAATAGAAGAACACAGTCTGCTGAACATAATACTGCACAAACATTAGATGTTGCCATGGTTTAATTGCACATAACATGTAAACATTGACAGTGCAGGGAGGAAAAAGTATGTGAGGCCCTAGCTTAATGACTTCTCCCAGAGCTAATTGGAGCCAGAAGTGAGCCAACCTTGACTCCAATCAGTGTGATGATATTGGATGTGTTGCTGACAGCTGTCCTGCCCTTAAAAAACACACACCTGTTTTGGGTTTACTGGTTTCAAAAAGCGCTGTCTGATGTGAACCATGCCTTGCAGAAAAGAGCTCTCAGAAGACCTACGATCAAGAATTGTTGACTCGCATGAAGCTGGAAAGGGTTACAAAAGTATCTTCAAAAGCCTTGATGTTCATGTGTCCACGGTAAGACAGACTGTCTACATATGGAGAAAGTTTAGCACTGTTGCTACTCTCCCTAGGCGTGGTCGTCCTGTAAAAATGACTGCAAGAGCACAGCGCAGAATGCTGTATGAGGTAAAGAAGAATCCCAGAGTGTCAGCTAAAGACCTACAGAAATCTCTGGCACATGCTAACATTTTTGTTGACACATCTACAATAAGGAAAACATTAAACAAGAATGTTTGGAGAGAAAAAAGGCACAGCACATCAACATCAAAACCTCATCCCCACTGTAAAACATGGCGGAGGGAGCATCATGGTTTGGGGCTGCTTTGCTGCCTCAGGGCCTGGACGGATTGTTGTCATTGATGGGAAAATGAATTCCAGAGTTTATCAAGACATTTTGCAGGAAAACGTACGACCATCTGTCCGCCAACTGAAGCTCCGCAGAGGATGGGTGATGCAACAGGACAATGACCCAAAGCATACAAGTAATTCAACAAAACAATGGCTGCAACAGCACAGAATACGCCTTCAGGAGTGGCCCAGTCAGAGTCCTGACCTCAACCCGATTGAAATGCTGTGGCATGACCTTAAGAGAGCGATTCACACCAGACATCCCAAGAATATTGCTACACTGAAACAGTTTTGTGAAGAGGAGTGGTCCAAAATTACTCCAGATCATTGTGCAGGTCTGATCTGCAACTACAGGAAATGTTTGGTTGAGGTTATTGCTGCCAAAGGAGGGTCAACCAGTTATTAAGTCCAAAGGTTCACATACGTTTTCCTCCCTGCACTGTGAATGTTTACATGTTATGTGCAATTAAACCATGGCATCGTCTAATGTTTGTGTAGTATTATGTTCACCAGACTGTGTTCTTCTATTGTTGTGACTTAGATGACGTTCAGAGCACATTTATGCCCAATTCATGCAAAACTCCATGTAATCCCAAGGGGTTTACATACTTTTTCTTGCAACTGTACAAACCTATCTACAATATAGGGGTGTAAATACCTACCATGAAACAAATGTGTTTGAAAAGGTAATTACTTAGCAAGTAGTGTTAAACTTTAAAGTACATGTTTATTCCTCCAGCCCTCCTCTCCAGCCCTCTCAACACTCAGATTATGGTTCCCACTTCATCGGCTCTATACTTAACTCCCTTCAACAACTAGATATTTTTGTGGCTTCTCAAAATGTCTGCAACCTGGCTGGTAAAAAATCTAGTGCCTGGTCACTGCGCCTGTGCA